CCCCAGCTGTCCCAGCAGCGCCAGAGGCGGATGCAGCGCTTTGTCTTCGAGCACCCCAGCAGCTACAGGGAGGTGGGTCTGTAGCTCAGCCCCCACTCCCAGCCCTCCCCACCTCATGGGGTAAAGGGGGGGTCCTCTCAGTTGCCCACTACACTGAGGTGAAAGGAGAGCAGAGGTGGCTTGGTGGGCTGGGCATGGAGATGGGCAGGTATCAGGGTCAGCATCCAGGGAGGACCAAGGGTGCCAGCCCCCCCCTCTGCACCTACTAATCCCTCCCCTTGCCCCCCACTGCTCCAGGGACCAGGGCGCTCACACCACACTGAGAAAGGCAATCCGGAGGGAATGGTGAATGAGTGGATGGTGAGTAGGTAGAGGAAGCTCTGAGGTGCTTCCAACAGCCTCCCCAGTTCCCACTGGGGGAGCGGTTCCTCCCCACTGACTCTCACCCTTGGCAGGCAGGGGAGGACCCCGAGGGCCAGGAGAGTTATCACTCCGAGCTCCATGTGGCAGCGTCGCCCCAGGATGGCCCCCCCAAAGTGCCCAAGAAGACAGAGAAAGTCCTGCAGATGAGCAAAGTCCTCAACCCTGATGCTCTGGCCCCAGGTAAAGGCCACCAACACCCCGCAGCCTGCACTGTTGTTATCTCAGCTCATTGTAATCTCACTGGGAGCTGCTGCCTGACAAGGAGTCCTCTCCAAAACTCTCCCCACAAAGCTTTTAAATATATAAATATATAACATATATTGATGTTTTATATATATATATATGTATATATATATACACACACATATACTCCTGCCCCAAGCAGCAGGTCCCACGTGGCCATGTGAAGGCAGGGCAGTTCTCAGTCTCCCCTCCCCTTACTGGGACACAGCAGCTCACACTGTCTGTCCCCTCACACAGGGTACTCAGGCCCCCTCAAAGAAGTTCCCCCGGAGAAGTTCAATGTCACTGCCATCCCCAAGGGCTACCGCTCCCCATGGCGGGAGCTCTTTGGTGACAAGGACACTGCTGTGCACCAGGAGAAACAGCTGCCTGTGAGACCCCCTCCGTGGGACTTCCAGAACTTCAACAGGTAATGCTAGTGAGGAGCAGGCAGCACCAGGTCATCCCTCCCTTGGCCAAGCCCTTCAGAAGCCCTTCAAGAAGCACCCACCATCCTGCCCAGGGAGCACAAAGGTCCGTGCCCTCTTTACACACCACAGGGGAGCAGCAAGAGCTCAGGTTGCTCTTTTCCTGCTCAGGAGCTCCTTTGTGACTCCTCTGTAAAGGTCCCTGCCTCCAGCAGCTCTCCTCATCTCATCTCCACCACCAGGCTTGAGCAGCCTTAAGCAGCTAGTTCCCACAGGGCAACCTTAGGGAGGATGGCTGAAATTTGGGAGAACTAATTCTCATGCATGTGGTCCTGGAGAAGGAATTGCTGCTGTTCCCAGCTGGGCTCAGCTCTGGGCTGGGTGGAGGAATGGCACAGACAGTGCCAAGTCTCTCTCCTAATTTCCTTAAGGAATCCAGACAGCTGCTGGAAGTGGTAGGGGTGTAAGGTTAATCTTCCAACAAGATGCAATGAGGTCACCAGATTCCTTCAAAACACCTGCTTGAGATTGAAATCTCCAGGCTAGGGAGATTCTGGTCAGCCTGGCCAGCTCCATGCCCCATGGCTGCTTCCTACAGAATATGGCAGCTGTGCCTCCTCATGCCTCCAAATTACACTGGGGTTGAGATTAGAGACCACCAAGGAAAATCTCTGTTCTAGAATGGTGTTTGGAGGGGATTCAGGGGATGAAGATCTGGTGGTAGCAAACTACCAGCAGCCTGAGGTAGAACAATGAGAACTGAACCTTTAAGATGATTATCACACAAAAGAAACTGAGGGCCTGACTTTCCTCCCCAGTGAAGGCCTCTTTCACAAGGATGAAAGTATGTTAGTCTTCGTGGCTGGGCCAAAGTCACCTTCCAGGAGGCTCCCACTGGAGCTCCCTACTGAGACACAGCCCTGCTCCCCACCAAACCATCTGCCACAGGGCTGGGCTTCTGCAGACAGCAGTTTTCCTGAGCCCACCCTGGAATTGGATTTGAGTTGTGGGGGACACGACTGATGCACTTGGAATGCTTGGCAGAAGGGGCTGTGGGGAACCACAACCCCTCTGCACAGGAACCAAACCCCTCGAGGTGTCCTTCCCAGTTACTCAGCCATCTTGAGCTTTACTGGAGCAGCAACATCTGAGGAGGTGCCACAGTGGGAGAACAAGGAGCTGCAGCAGACACTTGGCTTTTTTCTTTCAGCATTTAACCAGGTTACTGCCTCAGGATTTATTTATGGACAGGGACTGAAGCAAGGGCATGTTTCTGAATAATGCTCTGCCCTGTACCGTTTCTCCCCTCTCACATGCTGCCTTTCTATTTAAAGGCTTGAACTGTTATTTAATACAGATGGATGCTAATTTAGCACCAAGGCTCTTGCCACCTCCTCTAATTCACTTCTGAGGCATGAAGATTCAGAGAGCCAATCTTTAACTGGGCTTTTCATGATCTTCCAAGCTGTTGGCTTTTAAATCACTTCCCAGTTCATCAAGTACCAAACTACAAAAAAACCCAAAATTTTTGGAAGAAATTGACTAGTGAAAAGCCAAGGGTCTTGCCTAAATCTGGGTGAATCCCAGCACAGCTCACATGGGTCACTGGGCAAGGGCATGTTCACCATCTCAACAGCAACTGTGTTCAAGCAGGCTATTTTATTCCCAAATTTAAATGTCCAGGCTGTGATGCAAAGACCTGTGGCCACCTTGCCAAGGTTTGCTGCCTTAAGAGAGAGTGAGAACCAAGCTTTGAAAAGGAAAGGAGAAAGTTTTCTGGGACAAACCTCTTTCCCCCACTTATTTCTTATTTCTTATTATTACCTTTCCCCCCCTTATTTCTCCTCTGTTGCAAAACAGTGCCACGTTACTCATGTTCGAGCAGTGCTTCCCAAAGCAAACATTCCCAGCTATGCCTCATTGATAGCTCAGTCTCCATGGGCTGCTCCAAAACCAACATTCTTGGCTTTTTGGGGGCTGGCACTTTCCTTCCTAGTTCCTTTCCATGTTTCTCCAGAAAGGGATGACAGCTCTTGCCCCCGCACTGTTCCTCCTGTTAGTCATAGTTGAAGAGAAGCTGTCCCAAAAGGCAGACTGGAGCCAGGGCTAGAGGGAAGACATTTGCCTGCACATATGTTGGAGCAATCAGGGGCAGCACCATCAGCTTCAGGCCTCTGCAGAACACAGCAGCAGCAGCAGTAGAGTCACTTGCTAAAGACCAAGAGGTTTGCCACTGTCACCAAACCCCTTTTTACACACAAAGCATCTCTACTGCTGTTGGTGGAGCCCATCAAGAGAGGTAAAGGTACCTACAGTCACAGCCACAGATGCCCTAGCACCAAACTGGTGCTCTAGACCTGCCAAAGCTGGTGTTGAGATTGGATTTGTACCAGAGAAGCACCTTCTGGGCTAGCAGCATCCTGGGAAGGGAGAGGAGGGTTGTCATCTGCTAGAGGCTTTGCTGCTGGGCTCAGCTGGTAAACCCAGACCTGCTTTTGCACCTTTACAACCCCCCCACTCTCTCCTGATGAGGTGCTAAGTCTCCTTCTTCCTGTGCCACAGGACTCCTGCCCCGTTTGACAGAGCACTGGTCAGTGAACTCTTCTCTGTGCCTGCTCTGGAGCTGGATAACCTGAGTGCTCTGGAGGTGATTTCCCACAGACCCAACTTCAACAGAGCAGCACAAGGCTGGGTGCGGATCCTACCGGAGAGCGAGGAGCTGTAGCACCTGTGCTCCCTCCCCCATCCCCACCAGTGCTTCCCTTGCTAGACTTCAACATCCCTCTTGTGGTAGGGCCCAGGGGAGCAGGTATTCCCTGTGAAAGCCAAGCTGATGGGCTCAGGCTGTCATCTTCATCAGGGGGTGAGAACAAGCTCAAGTCTGGGACCATGTGGAACTCCCCTCCTACCAGCCATTGTCACAAGAGCATTTAGTGCTAAGCTCACCAGCCAGGTTCTCACAGGTAATGTGAGCAGATCCCTGCAAGCCCCTCTACAAACCATCGTGTACAGCCTGTCCTCTTCCCTGTCTTGTGGAAAACAGCAGGACCACCAGCGGCAGCACACCAAGCTCTCTCACTGCTGCTGCACCAACATGCAAGACCTGCTCTGACAGCTGGTGCCTTAGCAGAGAAATTCCATCTTCAGGACAACTCTGTGTCTGTCATTCAGGTCAGGACAGTGAGAGGAGGTGGTAACTGAAGGGCAACAGCAAAACAAGTTACTGGAGGCACTGGCATGTTAAAAGCACTTACGTTGGGCTTGGCTGGACAACAAAAACAAACAAGGAGCTGGGAATCTGCCTGTTTACAACACAGCACAAGTAAGATATATGGGAGATGACTGCTGACAGTTGGAAACTTGTACCCTTTTTTCCACAAGCTACTGGCTAGCACTTGGCAGCTGGTATTTTTCCCCTTCCTACTGCTATTTGCATGCCTTGCTTAAAGCCGTCAACCCTTTGATTGACATGTGCCAGATTTGCTTCATCCAGTTGGTCAGTAGGGATCAGGCCCTGCCTGGACCTGCAGAACTGCTCTAGTCACTGCCAGGGTGTTGTGGCAACTTGGGAGTCAGTGGGAAGGAAAAGCAGCACAGCCTCCACAAACAGGCTTCTCCTGAGTGTGCAGGTCAGCAGCAATGATTCAACCACACAAACTGTTTTCAGCAGTGATATACAGTGGGACATGCAGCTAACAGCAGCCCACAGGGCAGAAGTCAGAACATATAGAAAATCTGCTAATCACTAGTAAAAAACTCTTCCTTAACACTGACATTCTACAACTGCTTTTGTCAGGTTCTTAATGTTCCTGTTATTTAATCTCACAAAAGTGGGAATATCAGGATAAACGTATCTGCTCCCACCACTGTGGTTAAAGCAGCCAAGTCAATTCTGTGGTAAAAATGCAGTTAACAGCTGCCTGACTTGAGAAGTGCACTGGTGATGCCGTGCAGAGCAAATCCCACATAGAGATTCTGCTGCCACAACACACCCAGAGGGCAGAAAACTTTATTGCTCTGTTCCTGCCACAGAAGCAGGAGTGGACAAGTAACTAGAAAGCAAAAAGGTCTGTTCCTTAAACATTAAGAATTTGATGTTCCACTGCTGTCTTCTTCCAAACCCATCTCTCCCCTCCTCGGTCCATCAGCTGAAGAACCTGCATATCCCTGGGGACTTGGCTGGAAATAATAAATTATGAATTGTGGTTGGCAAAGCCTGATACATTTGAGCTCTGTCTGCATAGCCCTTGTGAGCCCTGACTGCAGAGACTTGGGGACAGAGCAGTGACAAGACACTGCAGCTCTCCCAGCCCACCAGCCTCTGCCCACCCTCCAGTACTGCCCTGGGCAGTGTCATGGTACAGAACAGCATACAAAACTGCCCTTTGCCCACTCTGCATCTTTGCTTTGGCAGCAGCCAGATAAAAAACAACCCAAGTCCTCAGACACTGTGCTCTAGGAAGCAGGGTCTAGGCAAAGTGTGGAAAAATTCAAATATTTTAATGTACTTTTTTTAAACAAGCAAACAAGGCTTCAGAACAGGTCCCATTGTGTTTTCCTTTACAGGAGATGTCCACAGATCCATTATGTGAAAGCAACTGACACACGGATAAACTTAAAATCCTCCAGCCAGGTGCACACACATCTCATCCCACAGCAGGCTGCACTCAGGGGACAGCTGCTCCTGCACAGACACTCTAGTTGGAGCACGGAAATAAAACTTTAATGTCTTATTAAAACAGGATGACATGGGATCCACCTCACAGTTGAATGGGAGACTGTATCCATAGGCCTCAAAAGCCCCAGTCATGCTCCACATACCCAGGACAAGCTCCCAGCTGCACCGTGTCCTCCCCCTGCAGTTGGCAGCAACACAAGCCCAGGGGCTACCAAGGGGAGCTTCAGTGGGCCGAAATAGGCACCTGCCAACCTGGCCATCAGTGTTGCTCCTTGCATTACCTGACACTTTCCATGCTCAGGATGTGCAAGATTAGAAGTGAGGCATCAAAAAAGGTTTTGTTGTTTTTTTTTTTGGTGGGTGTTTTTTTTTGTGTTGGTTTTGTTTTGTTTTTTAACCAAGATGTGAGGAAAAAGGAGGGAGGAAAATTCTGTGGCAACATAATAACAAAGCCATGGGTTTGGCACATCTGAGAGGCTTGTTCTGCTCTTACACAGTCCTAGTTTAACACCTCATTACAGTAATAAGTCATTAGTTACCTAACATAGAGAAGAATCTCTGATTACATTTCAATAGTCCATACTGTTCTGACTGAGGATATCAAGGGTTTGTTTTCATTTTTCTGGAAGTTTATTTCAAAACTGTGCAAAGGGGATACACGAATAGCACTGTAGTTCTGGTACACCTGATCCCCTGCCCCCCACCCCCCCCAAACACTAAACGAAAGATCTGGGATGTATCAATGATCTGATCAGCTAGTGGAGACATGGAGCTCAGCTCGCCCAGTGTCTGCAAGCAGGGAAATAAGGCTGCTCTAGCTCACCCACACCTCAACATATGGAGCTACCATGGTAACTAGAAAATAGCATTTACTTCAAGGATGAGGGTGGCATGGCCTGCTAGGGGCTGCTGTGCTTCCCTGCGTGGGCACCCATCCTCTGGGGATCCTGGGATGGGTAGTGAATGGGGCCAGGGGCTCGCATGAAGGGAGGAGGGGGCCCCATGGTATGGAACATGTGTGGTCCAAAACCTGTGGAAACAAAGTTGTGGGGTTCAGGCAAAGCAACAGACCAACCAAGGCAGACGTACCCCTGCTTGAAACTATGGATAGAAAACAGCTGTGCCTAAGAAGGAGGCACATCTCCCACCATTTCTCAAATCCCCAAACTCCTTCCCCTCTTTCTTCCAGCACTACTGGGGGCAATCCTTACCCAACACACATCCCCATCCACATATAAAAGCTGGTGGGGGCCAGACAAGTCTCAGTGTAATGTCAATCTAAATGGCTTCTACTCAGCTGCAGAGCAAACACACACAACAAGAGTCTGGCATCCCATAAGAAAAGGACTTCCAGACAGATATACGCAGAGAGTCAAAGACAGGCTGGCATTTGACCAGCTGCAGAATTGCCCTTGAAGTTCAGGTTAAGGTGGCATTTACACAGACAGCAAAAGCACGGAGGGGTCTCAGTGCCAATAGCAGGGATCTCTGACATGCCTGAGCATTTGCAAGTGACCACATACCAGGACAGGCAGCTCAACTTAATTAAACTGTGCTGACAGCTCATTTTAGATCATCAGTTTACGTTGTAGGGGCAGGGATGAGGAAAATCAGCTCAGGGCATGGATCAGTGCTACAGCCCAGCAAGGAGGACAAGATGATCTAACAGCCCCACTGGAAGGAGAAACACAAGTACCTGGAGGTGGTGGTGGCGCAATGCCAGGAGGAGGTGGCAAGGCAATGTTTACCACAGCTGGAGGGCCACTGGGAGACAGGTTAAAGTAATTTGCAGAAGCCTCCTCTTCTGCAGCTGGAGGAGGTGGGAGAGCTGCAGAAAAAGTACATGGTGGTTATGGAAAATCCCTCAGTCAAGATATGCAGGGGAACCAGTTCTTCCCCAGGGCAAACCTCTGCCACACTGCACGTGTGAACAGGAGTGAGAAGCAGGACTGCACTGAAACCCCAGAACACGCTCCATTTTTCACCTCAACCAGCCTTGCTTTTTCCATCATACAACAGTGGATTTCCATCATACAACATCAACCAAGCCTTGAAAAGCACGTGTCACCAGTATCTCAGACCTAAGTAACTTTAATTCAGCTTTAACTTTTCACTCATCATATAAACAACTCTCTTTTCATCAAGAATTTGTTTCTAGACAAAGTTTCGCCCACACCCCAGCTACATCTGCTGCAAACCAACTGCATCTGCCTGCTCTGGGCTCACCAGTGCCTCCAACACCCTGAGCTCCAGAGGTTTGACACCAGCCTCTCTCACAAAAGCACGTCAGCATTAAGCATTTCAAAGATGGAAAAAAACCTCTTACCTCCAGGAAGTCCTGGAACTGGCTCCAGCTTTATCCCAGATTCTGTAGTACCTTCCTTGTCCTTTTCTTTTCCTCTTGCTGCCTGGGACCTAAAAACCGGACAAAAGTTTGAGAAGAAGGATGAGATAAAACAGGATAAGCAGATATTCACACCACAACAGCTTCACATGATCTAACCCAGATCCATTGCTTCAGTCCCAAGATGGCAAATTCACAGCCCACCAGAGCCAGCTGGTGCAAGCAGCACTCCCAGGAGAAGGACCAGAAGCAAAACTACAGAAACTCATCCATAACCCTCAACCAGGAAAACCCTCTACACAATTTGTGTGACTTCTGCCCCAGATCCCACCGCTGCAAGAAAACCAAACCATAGCAGGACCCCCAAGTGTTCACCAACTGGTTATCTCTACCAACTCAACACCCAGCTCTGCTGATCAGGACTGCACAACCCCAGTGCAGAACCTCATGGTAGCAGCCATGGGGTCACCTCCCTCCCACACTCACCTTCCCCACTTGACGTTGAGGCGGCGGCCGTTGACAATGAGCTTGTTGAAGGATTTCTCAGCAGCCACTTCTGCCGCCTGCCGGGTGGCAAACTGGATGAAGGCACATTGCTGCCTCTGCACCACCGTGATCGTCCGGATCTCCCCAAACTGGTAGAAGTGATTCCTGGGGGTGGGAAAAATGATGATTGAAACCCCACTCCTCCCAGCCGCAGGGTACACAGAGTAGGATCTCATCACATGCTGAAATAGATACGCCCAGTTCCCTTCTTTTCTCCATCAGCACTTCAGGCTTAGCATTAGAAACCGAGCCTCTTGCCCTGCTGTGCAATTAGGGAGCAATAAAAGCTCAGCAGCAGCTTTTCCCAGCAGCTAACCAGAGACAGGCTATGGGTTTCTCCTGTAAAAAGTGTGTCAAGAGCACTCCCAACAGCTCAGAAGGATGACTCATCTTTAAAGGGAGAAAATGTAATCAAATCCATTGAAATGTGCCAGTTTATCTGTTCTCCACCCAGCTGGTACTTGCCCACCAACCAGTTCCCTGTTAAGGAAAGCTGAAAACCAGATTTATTTTTCCCCCTTGCAAGAGAGATTTCCTCACTTCAGGATGAGCAGCAACCAAAGCACCGAACAGAAAGGTAAGGGCAATATAAATTCACCACACACCTGAGATCTGACTCAGTGATAGTATCTCCAAGTCCTCCAACATAGAGTGTTGTAATAGTCTTGTCATCCGGGGGGTCCAAACGAGGCATGGTTGATGCTCGTTTCAGAAGTTTATCAGCCACAGGATCATTAATTCCATAGTAACGGTCCTTGATGTTCTGATCAGCCAGAGGATCGTCTGGATCTGTCGGCTTCTCGTGTCTAAGGTGCAGCAAACAAAGCATTTCAGAACAACAGCCACAGATGCACCAGATGACAATGGCTGTAACTGCTGCCTTGCCTTCTGAAGGCCTCTGGTCACTTGTATGCTTAACCCTGTTCCCATAAACAAGCCAAAAATGGAACAAAAAGTCCCCAGAACTTCAATTGCAGCCAGGACTGCCTGGAGCTCTGAACAAATGGCTCTTCTGACAGCTCAGCACTCAGCACTATGGAATACGAGAGCTGGATTTCAAACAGCCTCTTGCTCCAATACCAAGATCTCTGACTGACACCACAAAAGGAAAACATGAACCACACTAGAGCTGCAGCCACTGCTCCAGCCAAACACGACCAGACCCTGCAGCTAACTCCTCACAAACCAACTTGCCACAACAAAGGTTCATTCACTGACACCATGAGCCAACCAAATGCAAGCTTCACCCTGACCCCAAAGGCAGTGATGTGTCTTCTGCCCCCCGAGGCCTTTCCTGTCCTTCCAGTCCCAGGGGAGCTGCACCTGACCTGGTGACCAGTGTTTCAGCTGCCTCTGTACCTGTAGGGACACTCTTCTCCCCTCTTGCATTCTCCTTTGACCCAGAAGGAGCAGATGTGAGGACGGTTCCGTTTGTAGTACGGGGTGGTCCGAGCCAGCTTCAGAAGCATGTCACTGGTGGAAGTAGCTTTTCCCAGTGCACCAACCGGCCTGGTGCCATCAGAATTGGATATCTACAGAGTAGTTAAGACACAGACAATGACCTGTGTATCACCACTGAAAACCAACACACAGAATCAAAGCTAGCAAATGATTTTAATATAGGCTGGGTCATCCCTCCCCTTTCCACAGCCATGACCAAACCCCAGGTTCTCACCTCCCGTTCCATGTTCTGGGTGTAGTATTCCTTGTTGACATCAGACTTAGGCATCTCATCCTTTAGGGAGAGTCCTGCATCCCGGACTTGAATAGGCAAACCTAGAATGAAACAAACAAACAAAAACCAAACTCAAAGCACCTAACAAAACTGGAAAGGAAGCTAAAAGAGCAGAAATAGCTCCTGCATTCCACAGGGATAACTCATCTAGTGCTCTGCGACTCTGAGAGGTGATCATGAAGACTTGTCCTTCTCAGAGACAACAGAGACAATGACATGCAAAGTCATTTCAGCAGCTTCCATGCCAGAGGAAAGCAGAGCAGCTCCCCCTCTTGGTTGCCATTCCTTTGGTACCCACCATACTCCAGGTCCAGCAGGCAGGTCTGACAGACATTCTTCAGCTTGCTGCAGGTCTGGCACACCTCTGTCTTCTTGAAGCGCATCCGAACCCCAGGGCACCAGCGGAACACAGTGAAAGGCCTGGCACAGATCTGGGACAGAGAGACACCCCCCGTGTCACTGTCACACAGCAGGGACATTACCATGCCCACTCCTGCACAGAAACCTCAAAACCCAAACAGGTCTAATCTCTTCAAAGCATAAATACAACTTCAAGATTCAGACCTCAATAAATAGCTGCTTCTATTTCATGCCTTCCTTTGAGAGGAGAGAGTTCTAGGGAGGTTTTTTGTTGAAGTGTAATTGGTTTTCTTTATTAGAATAACCCCCATGCTGAAAGCAGATCTACTCGAAGGAAAACAAAACACTCCTGGTGATGTCAGGAGAGATTAATTTTCCATGATTTGTACATCAGTCACCAGAACAGCAGGAAGCCCAGGGAGAGGTTACAAGATTCCTGGTGCAGTCCCAGACCACTGCTCTGTTTTTCCAGTGGAATCATAGAATGGGTTGGAAGGGACCTCTGAAGATCATCAAGTCCAACCCCTTCCAGAGCAGGTTACCTAGGGCAGGTCACACAGGAACACAGCCAAATGGATCTTCAAAGTCTCCAGAGAAGGAGACACCACAACCTCTCTGGGCAGCCTGTCCCAGGGCTCTGTCACCCTCACAGTAAAGAAGTTTTTCCTCATGTTGAGGTGGAACTTCCTGTGCTCTGGTTTGTGTATGTTGCCCCTTGTCCCATCACAGGGCACCACTGAAAATGCTGTGAAGAAGGGAAGGAAGATTCAATACAAACCTCCTCCCAAGCTCAGATGACAACTGATAAATGGGGAAAAAAATCCTCTCTCATTTTCCTCAGCCAAGACAACAGTAAACACTTCTTGCTCTTTCAGCAATAAATACAGCTTATTTCTTAAGACAGATGACACAAGTCACCACCTAGACATGAACAACATTCCCAGAGCAAAACCTAAACTCCAGTTACTTGTGCACAACCTACAAGTAAAAAATTGCAAGAGAAAATATGTGAAAACTCAAAAGACTGAAATACCTTCAAATACGGTACCACAATCACCAAATCTAACTCTGATAAACATGAGCAAATCCTAAGTCTGTCTGAACCACCTTGACCAATCCTGCTACTTTTTAAGACCACCTGACTTGCTCTAACAAGGTAGACTGGCCTAAAAATTTATGCAGTATAAACATTTTAACTTGTTAACAAAGATAAGCACTTTTAAGAAGCCAATGGGATTTTTTCATATTAAATTCTAATACACTCAGATGTGTGTTAATTTAAGTGTTTGTTCTTCAAGGGACAAGCAACATACCTTGCATTCTTTTCCATATTTTTCTTTGGTCTGAAATATAAGAATCACAAAAGATAAAATGTCATTAATTGAACATAAACATGAAACACAGCAGTGATCTTATAGCACAGCGAGTTTTTTCCTAATTATGCTGCTTTTAGACTCACCCAGCCCTGTGTTTTGGGCTTCTACTTTGGCAGGTCAACAGGACCAAAAAAAAATTCCTAGAAAATTCTTATATTTGGTTTTGCTTTAGAAATAGCCATTAAAAACACAGCATTGTAAGTCACACCTCCAGTATTAATCAAAGGCCCAAATGACATGGATTATCAATAGCTATTTTTAAGCAAAGATGCTGTCAGGTGAAATCAGCCCATGGAAAAAAGCAGGCAGTGGGGTCATATTTCACAACAAAATCACAATCTCTCCCAGCAGATTTGTTGGAATGGAAATGTGAAGGAGAGATAATCCAAGTGTGGGTCACACAACCAGAGCAAGCACAGGGAAAAGCCAGACAAGGGAACTGACTCATCCTGCCTGCAGGAAACCAAGGAAAACAAACAAGGATTTAAACGACTGTCAGGCAGCTTCCTAAGATAGTTTAAATTTATTCTTACAGGAGCACATCCTGTACATTGTAAGAACTGTGCTAAGCTACTCACTGCTTCAGCACCTCCCTGTTCTCCATGTGGCACAACTCACCAGCACCAAAGCTTTGTTTTCTACCATTTCCTGCACTCTAAACTTTGGGCTAGATCACCTCACCCTCCTTTTGGACTGATTTATTCTTAAATCCCACACCTAACACCATGACATCACATACCAACCATGGCTGGAACCCAATCCTGTTGTGCAGAACCAACTAATTAGGGATGCATACACACCTCAGCATCTCCTCCTGTAGCCAGGCTTATTTTAGTCCCCAGTGCCCAGCAGGTCTAGGGCCAACAGAAAGGGAAGGGTCACACAAGCACATACCATTCGAATATAGGGGTTTTCTCCAAGACATGTCTGGCACAGAATGGGGAAGTCCTGAATTAAGAAAGAAAAATAAAAAATCAGGGGTTGGCAACTCGCCCTTTCAAAGCAACAGCATTCAGATCACAGCCCAACCTAAGGCTCCTGGGCTGAGTGAATCGGCTTGGTTGGGAGACGCAAAAAGACCCATTTAAGAAGAGTCCCTGGGAGAGCCACGAGCCAGGGCCTGGGCAGTGGGAGAGCCACGATGTGCCGGCCGCTCCGGTTGGGAGGAAAGCTTCAAACAAACAACAGCACGTTCTGGAAATCTCGGTTCCTCAGCGGCCCGGCTGCAGCAGACGCCGCCATCGCCACCCGTTACCGCTCCGCATCTATTGTTTGCCCTGGGCCCATCAGCAAAGGCCTCAGCTCCAAGGACGCGGCCCGGGGCACAAGCCAGGCCCAGCACGACCCCCCAGCTCCCCGGCGGGCCGGGC